TGGCCGCCGCGGGGGTCCTCCCGGGGGAGACATGGAAGCGGTGGCTGCCGAGGACGCGGCGGCATTTCTAGTCCGGCGAGAGGATGGCGAAGCGAAGGTCGCGCCTCCTGTGATGCCGACTGCGGAGGCCGCAGGGACCCCCGGGGTCGCCTCGCGGGGGGCCGGATGGCCCCAGACATTCACCTCAATGGGGCGCTTTGTCGCCTCTGAGATTGTCCACGTTTTCTTTCTTAAACATGCTTATCGCTTGTTTCCTAATCCTGCTTTTATCTGCTGTAGGGCCAGGGACTTTAGTTCCCGGTGCCCAGCACACAGTAGGCACTTAAGTATTGGTTTCCTGAAGTAATAGTCCAGTTAACCTGCTCGCCGGTGAGAACGACTGACTGAGCGCCGGTGACCACGTCCACACGTTTCTAGACGTTGACTGTGGGTCAGGCGCTGCGTTCTCTATAGATGCCCTCATTCCCCAGGACAGCCCCACGAGATGCACAGGAGATGCTGGAGTGCTTATTTTTTCAGACGAGGAAACAGACATGGGATAACTTGCTCAAGATCAGAGAATGAAGAAATAGCAAGACTAACATTCAAGTACATTTTCTCTGCGCTTGTAACTACAATGGAGTAACAGTTGTTTGTTTTTTAAACAAAATCTGGTAGTGCTGATTAACCTCTAGTAATTTACTGAAAAATCTTTTCTATTTCCCTTTCATCTTTTATGGCGGGGATATACATCCCAAAGTATTTTGCACATTAAAACTTAAACTTGCAGACAGTTCCCAAGGCTTGTGGTTTGCATCTTCTATGATGTGTTGTTTTATTGGAAGTTACTGCATTGTCTACAAAAATGAACATCCGAAGATGCCAAAAGATAAACCTTGAAAGAGAATTGTAAAATAAGTGAGATGCTAAATCAAAAAGATAAAGTTGAGCGGTGTTTTGCAGTTTACCGTCGTTTATGTATGTGATGCTTTATCTGGAAACTGAATTTCAGAGCTGGGCAGAATTACAAGTTACTCAGCTCAGTTCTTTCATTTTAGTGCTGAGGAAGTGGATCTGAAGGAGATTAAATAACTTGCCAAAATTCAACAGAGTTTTAGAACTGAGCTGAGGCAAGTATTTGGATGTCCCAATTTGGAGCTATGTGTATTAACTTCATGGTATTAGCATCATGGCATTCCATGTCCAAAATCTGATTTCATTTTCATGACAGCAGTGAAACTAGTGTGACTGGTATTATCTCCATTTCCTCCACCAAAAGGCAAATACATTGTTTTAGTGGCAAAAGCAGCTGCCTTGAAAGGAGCCTTGGAAGCCAGACCTCAGTTCAGATTTTGTCCGGCTGCACCAAGATTTGAGTGAGTCCCTCAAGTCTCTCAGCTTCAGTCTTTTTAAATTTTATTTTATTTTTATCATTATTGTTGAAATTATTACAGGTGTCCTCTTTTTTTAAAAAAAAACTACTACTGGCTTTCTTGTAAAACCCATCTCAGGACGCCTGATAATGAGCTCCTTCAGTGTCTCTTATATCTCTGTTCTCAGCACCTAGCACAGTGCTGTACACAGTATATGAGCAGTGTGTGCTGAATGAATGTCAGTAAACCTTTCCAGCTCCTCCAGACCATCTTAACTGACCTCCCCTCACCAAACCTCCAGAGCACATTCTGTTTTACCTTAGGATATGGTTAGGAGGGTATATCTTCCACATATCCCACTAAATCAGTGGTTCTCAAAACTGAGTGAGCATTAGAGTCACCTGGAGAGCTTGTCACCCCCAAGCTTCTGACTTAGGAGGTTTGGATAGGGCACAGGAATTTGCATTTATAACAACTTCCAAGGTGATGCTGGGACTGCTGATTACTCATCATGCTTTAGAAACCACTGAACTAAATTAAGCTGCTTGAGGGCAGGGGCTATGTCCTCATTTCAGTGTCGCCAGCCGCCTCTGCCATGGTAGTACCTGGCACATGGGAGCTGCTCAAGCGATAGTTGATTGGAATAACAGTCCAAAAACTTTCTTACTGAATCTAGATTACAAGTATATGAATATGTGTATACAGTGTATCATTAAATGAGCTAGAACATGTAAAAGCTCTTAAAACATGTTTGCTAAAAGAAATCATTGCCCTGGTTGGGGTCCCTTAGTTGGTTGGGTGTCCTCCCTTGCACCAAAAGGATGTCTGTTCGATTCCTAGTCAGGGCACATGCCCAGGTTTCGGGCTCAATCCCCAGTGGGGCGTTTGCAGGAGGGAGCAGATCAATGTCCCACTCGCACATTGGTGTTTCTCTCTCCCTGCCTCTCTAAAAATTAATAAAAATATTTCTTAAAAATCATAAATTTAACCTTTCTTTGATTAACCTCATTATTCTAAACTGATATCCAAATTAGTTGTGTACTTTTAACAAGAAAGCTTATAAATTAGAGTAACAGAGTTTTAGCATTAAAAGCCTCTTTTAACGATATTGTCAGGAATTCTAAGTATTGGTTGAGTGCATCCTACATGGAAATAGACACAGCAAAAACTCAATAGACACACTGTATAGCCAGTGAAGAACCTTAGGTGTATGGGTGAGTGTGAGGGTGTTACGTTGTGAGAGTAGATGGCAACTATTAAAAGCATTCAGTTGTGTTCAACTCTTCATCATCATCTATGAGAACACATCTTTTTCACATGCTATAAATATTTGTAACTAGTATGGACCCAAGGGATATTGAATAAATATTAATAAATGAAGTTAATTAACAATTTCTTTGAAAAACATGACTGATATTTCTTCTTAAATGTAATCCAAACAACATGAGGAATTTAGAATTAGCCCTGATGCAGGTATTTCCACGGTTATGGAATAATTATTTTCATATAGGCTCCTGTCATGTGTGAAATAGACTTCTCAGAGTTCCAGGAGGAACCAATGTTTCCAGATGGAGTAACGCGCATATGTGGAGCTTGCCATTTTAAGAATCCTATGGGAAATCCTTTCATAACGGAAGTAATTATTTCTGAATTCTTTTCCCCCCTTTTTTGTTAATATACATTTTTACTCCTATATTATTTAAAGCAGGACACAAATGTTCTGTTGTTACTACAGCGGAATTTGGGGTAAGTCATACAGTTGTTTTTGCCTCCATCAACTCATCTGTAAAATGGAGAGATTAATAGCACTTACTTCGTAGGGACATGGGGAGGCTAAAGTGAGATCATTGCTGCAAGGCCCTTAGCCCAGCGTCGGGCAGTCAGGAGGTGTCCCCTCTGCGCCTGGTTCCTTGCAGCTGGGCACCGAGCAAATGTGGGGTTCTCGGCCAGCCTCAGCGATCGGCGGTGGGGAGCACCGCCAGCAAGTCCGCTCCCCAGGCCGACTCTGCAGTCAGATGGCGGAGTGGTTACGCTCTCCCCAGGATTGGCTGGCTGGCTGGCTGGCTGGGCGATTCATTCATTCAGCCAGCGTTTCCCGGGCGTNAGCAAATGTGGGGTTCTCGGCCGGCCTCAGCGATCGGCGGTGGGGAGCACCGCCAGCAAGTCCGCTCCCCAGGCCGACTCTGCAGTCAGATGGCGGAGTGGTTACGCTCTCCCCAGGATTGGCTGGCTGGCTGGCTGGCTGGGCGATTCATTCATTCAGCCAGCGTTTCCCGGGCGTTAGAAACGAGAGTGGAGCAGATCAGACCAGGCCAGCGCCTTCCCCGCGCGGCGCGCCGCGGGCGGGGAGGGGAGCGCGCGCAGACAGCCTCGCCGGCACTGCGGGAGCGCCCACCCTGTGCCAGGCGCTGTCTGGTGCTTTACAGGAATTATCTCACTTCGCCCCGTCGCCCCACGGCGCAGGAGCTGTGTGGCCCCGCGGAAAGGAGGGG